AAATGGGAGCGGGTGGTACGCCTACCACAAGATCGATGAAATGGGAGCGGGTGGTACGCCTACCACGAGATATAATAAAATGGGAGCAGGTGACACGCCTACCATGAGATATAATGAAATGGGAGCGGGTGGTTTGCCTACCACAAGATATAATGAAATGGGAGCGTGTGGTACGCCTACCACAAGATATGAGAAATGGGATTGGGTTGCACACCTGCAACAAGATAAAACTGAAAGTGAAAGTTGCCTTATTTCTTTTTATCCGTGTTAGAAGTTAAATTGTAGTTTCCTTATTATTCTTTGATATTTTGTTTTATCTGCTACCCCCGAAGCATGTTCCCCTTCCCCAGCTTTGATTTCTTATTACCTGTTTACTTTTTCCGCCATATATTATATAACTACACAGGTTTATCTGGAGTCTGGTCCTAGCCTCGTCACTACCTCGCCGGGGTTAGTCCAGACACTTACCAGCATATGGGGTCGGTTGTGCTGATGCTACACTCTGCACTTATGTGCAGATATCATAGTAGTATTTGAGCAGCAACATTAGCTCAGGAGCCAGCCTTCAGTCCACCTTGACACCGAGGTAGCCTTGCAGGCGTCCGCAGGCCGGCGTCTACTCTATCCTATTTTATATTCTGTTATCTCATGCATTCGAGACAGACAATGTTATCTTTCTTTCAAACTGATGTATGTAGTATTCTTAGTAGTTCGTGAATGATGTGACACCAGATTTTGGGTAGAGACATGTATTGGTTTCTAGATATTTGGGTTTCATATTTATTTAAGACTTCCGCTAAATTTTATTTTCCGTTGTCATTTAAATGCTTAATCATTTATAATTTAACTGGCGAAACATGTATAAAAAGGAATGAGTTAGTGGTTTCTAAGTTCATGGCTTGCCTAACTTCTACGAGTAGGCGCTATCACGACTCTCGAAGGTGAGAATTTCGGGTCGTGACAAAAAATATCTACAAATATCTGCAACTGTGTTAGCAATAAACTTACCTGTGTAATATGAATTAATTATTCTATAAGCAATAATGCGCTTTTGCATTTTTCATTCCTCATCAATCCAATGAGTGGTAACAGTAAGATAATCACAGTCATTACCACTTCTACCAATATCAGTAATAATAGCAACGCGACAATTTATATGAGTAAATAAATAGCGCAAATATTGTTCATATTCATGTTTATATTTATAAATATCGCTCTTTACGGTTGCACGAGGCCATCCTTTATAAGTAGGATTAAAAACTCTTCTAATATAATGCACAAAGTGAGGGTTAGAAGGAAAACTATAGGGTAAGCACAGAACAGTAACCATTTTTGAATTCTTCACGATCTTTATTTGGATCGTAATATAAAATGTCACCTGTAACAGTTTTAATTCTCGGTTGAACTAGATTTGACCTAGTACTAGGGTTAACCTTAGTACCTACACTTGTCTCCTCTTGCGCAGCTTTCATTTGAAGGAATCTAGCTTTATCTCTAGGGTGTGTCTTTATGTGTCTAGTCAAAGTACCCGTACCACTACGGTCTCCAGTATATTTATGAGCCATCAAAGTCCCACAAGTTTTATACTTAGCCTTATTTTGATCTCTTAGTTGAGTAAAAAAATGTTAAACAAGAGATGTTTCGCACCGTCTAGAAGGTTGTCTATTAAAAGTAGGGGTTACTACAAGAGGGTCAGGCGGGGCATCATTTGGATTATTATCAGTTGGGTTAACAACAGGACTAGTAGGTGTATCATCTAAATCCGGTTGCATTTCATCTATATCATCATTTTCATCGATAGTTTGATTATCATAAAGAGCATTCATATATTCATCATTTAATTGTTGACCTGGTGCAACATCATGGCAAAATTGACTATCGGTAAATTGAAAACAAAGGTTATCACTATCAAGAATAATAGGTGGAGGAGGACGGGTAACAGGTCTGCGTCGGGGAGCCGGGGGAGGAGTAGTAGCTTGACCACTAGATTCACCAAGTTTAGATTTTCCCTTAACACCAAACATTTTTTTCAAAGAAAAGTCCATATTAATTATAATTTTACAAACTAAAACAAACAAAACTATAATATTAAAACTTAAGAGTTGGAACGAGTTTACCGAATTGACGAACAATTTCTTGAAAATTGTATATCATTGAAGACTTCAATTCACCAACTTCACAATTTTTCACAAATTGCAATAATAAAGTAAGGAATTATAGAAGAAAATTATACAGAGATTGATGATTTTGTGAGTAAAAATGAAAGAATGAGGGGTATTTATAGTTAAGAATACAGAAAAAGTATAATTATAAAAAGTTTGGCGGGCAAATGGCTATTTTTTAAAAAGCCAAATGGCTAAATTGGCAGGTCAACGGCTAGTTTTTTAACTTCCAACCGTTGGCCAATTTTTTTAATTTTTTTTTTTTTGAAAAATAGCCGTTGGGCCCGGTTGAATCGGCCCGGACCCGTCATCCGGTCCCGGACTAAACGGTACTGGGCTCGCGATCTCTACGTGCAAGACCGGCCCATAGTGGACTCCTAGGACCGCTTGGGACCGGACCATACGGGCCAGCCCATTTAGTCCAAAACCCATGTGGGCTTGCGGTCCCGGGCCGGTCCCGCTAGGCCTGGACCACAGTACAACCTTAAGCAAGTAATGTCAACCATTTCTTCGTAACTTTTCTTTAATTAGAAAAACACCCCAGAAAAGAGTATAATTGAGTAAGCTTTCCCCTGCCCTTTTGGTTTCATTCAGAGAATGAAGGAATATACTTTATCTTCCTCCATAAATTGATTGAGAAAGAAACAGAAAAAAAGAAAAAGGAAACCTTTTTTTAGCACATAGAAAGAGGGAGGGGAACGAAGAAAGAGTATTTCTAAAGCAAGCCAAAACAAACTCACAAAATTAAACTTCCTCCCCCTCTATTCTTCTTGTGCATAAATTTGTTTCCTTTTTCTAAAATTGGTTCAAGAATTTTTTTGGCTTGGTTGGATAATTGTTGAAAAAATGGAGGGAGAAGTTGGCACATCATCTTCATCTTTGAAGTGTGAAATGCAAGGGAATGGGGAAAAAGGGGGCAGTAGCGGTGCTGTAATAAATGAAACTAAATCTGTTAATAAGTTTCCTTTGACATTTTGGGAGATTGGGGTAGCAGGTGTTGTTGTTTTGGGTTATGCATTGGGTCTGCTTTGTATTTATCTAACTATGCCTGCCTCTGATTATAGCTTCTTAAAGCTTCCAAGAAATCTTGAAGATCTTCAAATACTCAGGTAAAAATGGCATCTTTTTTGTCATTCTTATTGGCTTTGAATGTATTTTTCCAATATCTTAATTGAATGCATATTTTACCTTGCCAAGCTATTTCTTTTATTGTCTTTTTTGGTTTTGAGAGAAGATAGAAAAATGGGGAATCTTTGACCTAAAATGGTGTCTGGCTTCCCCCACCCCCGATGGAAAGGCCATAATTTGTTGATTTGTAAGATGTTGGATTGTAAAGAGCTTAAGGGGGTAGTTTATGTCCATTACTACAACAACTATGCCTCAATCCAAAGCAACTTATCCTCACTGACCATGGCGCTCCAATTAAGTTCACCTTTATGCCCATTACTATATTTGTAAATTAAAAAAAAAGGGAATGCTTTTTGAGAAAATTTTGGTGCCATCTGTAAAGAATAGAATGTAGATGGAGCTGACCTGCTCGAATTAGAGAAGTGATGCTCATTGTATAAAAAAGCGGAGTAACAAATTCTTTGAAGGAAAGGAGGAGGGAAAACTTAGCCCTTTGACATTTGATGAATAAAAAAAGGTAGAAAGTTTATGATAACTAGTACATTTTTTTTGGATGGTGGGCTGAGAGGCAAGTGAAAGTGCCCCTATTGCATTGCCCTTGCTCTGCTTTACACATATACTCTTCGATCAACCTACTTGACCATGAGGTTGGATATGGGAACTGCTGATAACTCAGTGTTGAGTTAGAGAAACAATTTATTGGTAAGACTCGGTGTAAATGTTCCGCCAACCTCTTTTTAAATGTGAAAAGAGTGAACTTCAGGGGGAATAAACATGAGGGGGTTAAATATGATCTGAATTTACAAACATTTACTAGTTTCACGGACAGTTTGGGGAGTAAAAGGCTTTCTGTCTGACTATGCCTCTCTGCCTATTTCAGTCTGGGGGGTCTAGTGGCACCACAAACATTCTTTATCTTACTTTATCAATAAAAAGGGGGTGTCTCAAACATTCACAATTGCTTGTTCATTGATGGAGAGCTATAAGTACATCCCGTTGAACGGTGATTAGAATGGATTGTTAGATGTAACATGTGTAATGGGAGAAATTAAGGAAAGACGTGGACTGTTAATAGCGTTAAGCATTGAAGTTGTTATGCACCCATTGCATGAGTGGGGTACTTGGCAAAGGAATTGATCAAACAACAGGTAGGAAAATCAACTCTGTTCACTAAACTTGCTTTCTGGTGATATGTCCTGGCTTTGAACTGTGCACTTGAAATGCTAATGTATTTTTGCAAGCAGATGCATAGGTATCTACAAAAATAGCACTTGTAATTGACATTTGGCATTGTTTTTATCAAAATACTGCACTAGTAGTTGACCATGCATGCTAATCTGCATTTTCAGACTTGTGCCGTGATTGTTGGAGATGATATCATATACTAGTATATTTCTTTCTTATTCAATACTAATTTCCACAAATGACACTAGTATTATATGATTTTTATACAACATATGGTTTTAAATGTTCTGTAGGGATCACCTGGAGAGCTATACTAGTGACTACACCGTTCAGGTCCTTGTGGGATACTGTGTAGTCTACATTTTTATGCAGACATTTATGATCCCAGGAACAGTTTTCATGTCACTGCTTGCCGGATCTCTCTTTGGAATCTTCAGAGGTGTAGCACTGGTCGTGTTCACCGCTACTGCGGGTGCATCATCTTGCTATTTTCTATCCAAACTGATTGGGCGGCCTCTCGTGTTCTCACTGTGGCCTGATAAGTTAACTTTCTTCAGAGACCAGGTGATTTTCAACTCACAACCCAATCATAATGTTCCGCTTTCCTATTTGCTACTGTTGCAGTAAAGTATCTCTGATCTATCAGGTGGCTAGAAGGCGAACACGGCTGCTAAATTACATGCTTTTCTTGAGAGTTACACCGACACTGCCAAACACATTTATCAATGTTGCTTCACCAATCGTGGACGTGCCTTACCATATATTCTTCTTTGCAACTGTCATTGGGATCATTCCAGCTGCTTATGTCACTGTCAGGGTACTCGTACTCTTTATTCAACTCTTTATGCAAAGTGTCAATGACTAAGAAATAGGGAACGTAGTTTGTTTTGGCCAACTATGGTTTCTGCTCCTTTTGACTTAAAAGAAAAACATTTTAGATTTATGATGCAAAGAGGGAGTAGCCTTATCGACTCCTGGGAAGTGGGGTTCTCTAGGAAGGGGAATTAAAAAAAATTGAACATCTTACATACAAAGAGGGAGCTGATTTTAACTTGTTTTTGAGTTCATCTGATAAACTCTTTTGGTGTGCTACTTGTGTGAACATGAGCTACGATGGTAGTAAATTAGCTAAAATACAGACACTAGTGTACAAGCTATGAATTTACGATATTTTACAGTATTAGTTTAATTCTGCTGTATTAAATTTAAAATTGACTATGCTGACCAAGGGATTACAATGCAGGCTGGAATAACTCTTGGCGAATTGCAGTCGGTGGGTGATCTCTATGACATGCATTCTATAGCTACTCTTTTCCTTATCGGTCTTGTAACTGTTACGCCCACATTGATTGGCAACAAGAGCTAATTATAGAGCTCAGCTTCAGCAGAAAACATTGTGAAGTGCCATGACTACCATTAACTTTCCTCGGCATGACTTCATTATATGTACAGATTAGCATTAGACAAGTGCATTGTGCTCGAGTCTCTGCCGCAAAAAGTCATGCAGCTATTGAATTTGATCCTGAAGCATTTGTTTGAAAAAACAGCCCCAAAAAAAGGATCTGATGTCATTGGAAGATATTGATGTGTAAGCTTCCTGTCATGATTCTGTAATAGTTTATTTGCGATGCTATTGGAAAACGCTGCCTTAGATCTTATATTCATTTCTTTTATCTGTTTCCTTTTTCTTAGTTTCATATTTAAATGAATAGAGAGTTGGAGAGCCAAAATCTTAAATAGCTTAATAGCCGATTTGGCAAAGCTTCTAAAAAAGTGCCAATATTGGAGCAGCGAATAGTGTTTGGCCAAAGTTCCAAAAGTGCTTTTTGTAAGAGGTGTTTTCCGATAAAATATTTTTGTAGAAAAACAATTTTATGTTTGGCTAAATAATTTGAAATGTACTTTTGTCGTTATTGGAGCAACAATTTGTGCTTGGCTAAGGTTCAAAAAAAGTTTTTGGTGAGAAGCTGTTCTTTTCAGCTTCTAAAAAATAATTTTTGTGTCTCAAAGTATTTTTTTTTCCTCCTAAAAGCTCGACCAAACATATCAAGTTTCTAAAATAGGCCCTTTGTAAAGAAAAAATTCCTTCCTATACAATAATATGAAACTTATTTACTAAAATTGTTCAAATATTATATATTACCCGCCCTAAGCCAGTTTTTGTTACAAATTATAAATCGATTAATCTGGTGTCCTAACTGTGGGCTTCTTTAATTAGACGCGTGATTCAAGTAACAAAATAATTTTTCGTTACAAAATAGATATGCCGATTTTTCTGCAGTATCCACCTCTATCGAAGATTTTCTCTGCTTTTATAGCAAAAACTCAACAAATTCAAAACAAAATTTTTATAGAAAATACGGGAGGTAGATGAATGTGAAGCGTGATTAATCAGCTTCGAAACTATAGCAGATTTCTATATGATTTGACGATCAAAAATTATTTTTTCAAGTTTGAAATTGCTTCGACAAGTGAATTTCGATGGCAACACTTGTGATAATGCTTCAACACATTGGTTGTTAGGATAGCTTCGGGAGATATATTGATTTCGATGTCGATGAAATTGTAATCAATGAAGATTCGAGTTACAGTGCTTTGAATGCAACAATTGTAGAACACCTAGCAATAGATACTTCTGTCGAAATCATCAAAATCAAATACCGAGTCAACGAAAGGTGTCCTCTAATGAAAATTCGCAATGATATGGGTGTGAGAGTCTATATGGAGACGAAAAAGGATAATAAAGATCTAGGAATGTATCTAGTGTATAATTGAAAAGGATTTCGATTTGGAGTGTAGTTCCTCGAATGCTAACATGTCACGACCCCAATTTTCCCACCTTATGATATTGTGATGACACCTAGTCTTTAAGACTAGATAAGCCTACCATATATTGAAAGAGAGCAGAAACAATAACTTAAACATCATTTTAAACTGTTAAACTATCATAATGAACCCCAATAGTTACAACCGACAAATATCTCCCAAAATCTGGTGGAACTGAGTCATAAGCTCTACAACGAGTGCACTAAAGTTCTAGACATACAATATTATTTTGAAGAGGAAATAAATAGTAGAACATCTAAACAGAAGGTGACTTCGAGACCTGCAAATGTCGAGCAGGTATACCTTGAAGTCTTCGAAAATAGCTAATCAGTCATTGGCGTCTAGCACGGGCGGATGTACCTGGATTTGCACAAAATATGCAGAAGCGTAATATGAGTATACCACAATGGCACCCAATAAGTATCAAGCCTAACCTCGGTAGAGTAGTGACGAGACCAGGTCAAGACACCTACTAGGATAAGAAACTGAACAGAATATAGCATAGTCTAATAATGGATCCCGAGGAAGTAAATGACAGATGAGCAGTTCAATAATATAAGCTAACAACGGAAATCTAAACGGTAAAGACAACAAGTAGTGAACACATGATGAAACAACAAGTAGTCAAACCTGGACAACTACAAGTAGGAGAATGAAGAAACAACAAGCACTATTCAACCAACAAGCCTCTTTTAGCATGAAATGTACAACAAGAATCACAACTGACGTACCGTCTCATATCACATTTTACAGTTTCAATCATAATATTTTCTTATATCACCGCGTGAGCCTTATATTTATTTTTGAAAATATTTTTCCGAAATGGCTACACGCGTTTTAGCTCCCTTATCTCATCTCATGTCTTCAAGTAATTTATCTTACTAGCAACACACGTATAATTTCTCACCTTATCTCACTGCATGCGTATCAACCCCTATCCTTATACCATTGCATGCGTATCAATATCACAACACAATAATCAACTCGCACCACATGTGCACATATGCCACAACACTTGCAAAAATCAACAATATCAATGTTACCACAAGGTAGAGCTCATGGCTCAATCATATGTGTATAAGAATCTCAATAATATCAAAATGAGGAATAGTCAACAATTAATAACTTCAACCTCAATGTGATAATGATTTCCACAACTTCAACACCAATCACTCAACAAGAAGATATTCCACAAAGTAACAACTTCAAGTAAGAGTATTTCAACAATAAAAGGGGTAACAAGACAATAAGGAAGGTAGCAACTTCAATTAAGCATATAAGAGCAATTACAACAATAAAGGGTAAAACAAATGCTAACAACATCAATTAGAATATGTAAGAATAAATTTAACAATAAAAGATGTAACATGTTATAACAAATTCAAGTAATGGCATGGAAGAAGACTAAACCGGTCAAAATACCACATATAGCCCGTGTACATACTCGTCACCTTGTGTACACATTTTTCACATAGTACAATTATTAGAAACAACCCAAATCCTAAGGGATAGTTTTCCACACAAAGTTAGGCAAGATACTTACCTCAACTAGGCCAAATCAACCCTCGAATATAGCTTTTCCTCTAAAACTCGCCTCCATACGGCTCAATTCTAACAAAAAATGACTTAATATTATCAAACAATGACAGGGAAACCAATTACAATAGATAAAGTTATGATCATTACACATTTTCCAAAAAGTTAACAAAAGTCAATTCCGGGCCTGCCCGGTCAAAACCCGGGTCCAAGGCTAGATTCTGACTACCCGTAACTCTACGAGTCCATATACATATTTTATTTTTAAATCTGAGTCCATATCGACTCTCAAAGCTCAAATCTTCGTTTTTCAAAACTTTGACAAAAAGCCCCAATTTTTCTCTTTGATTCGCATACATTTGATGTTAAATCTAAGATATAATCATGAAATATAGTTGGAAATTGATTAGAATCACTCATCCAATATTTGTAGATGAAAACCTCTCTCCAAATCGCCTCCTACTGAGTATAGGGTTCTAAAATGAGAGAAAATGATATAAAATTCCAAATCCCAGCCCTTTGTTCAGTTGCAGATGTCGCAATTGCGACTCAAAAGAAAAGCTCGCAATTGCGGCAACTGACTCACTGAGGAGATGTCTCAATTGCGACATAGACTTCGCAAATGCGAAGTCCATCCTCCTCGCTACCCAAGTCCAGACTTTGTCTACCCAAGTCCAGAATTTGCAAATGCAAACAAGGTATCGCAATTGCAATACCCGAGCCTCCCCTGCTGATATCATGAAATAATTCCATATATTTTGACATTATTTACCCTACTTGCTTGTTGTTTGGATGCTAATTTTTGCGATAATTGCGCTTAATAGAGCTTATTTCATGTGTAGGAATGCTTGGACATGAAGTGGAGAAAATTTGCACGAAATAGTACCTCAGATCTATAAAATGGAGCAATAAAAGAAGACGTGCAAGGCAACAAAAAGTCAGTGCCATAGACAGTGCCTTGCGCGGTAACAACAGTGCCGTAGACAGTGCAAGGCATTATTCAAGGCACTGTCATCAGTGCCATAGACAGTGCCTTGCCCTGAAAAGACAGTGCTACAGACAGTGCCTTGCACCAAAACGACAGTGCTACAGGCAGTGCAAGGCACCAACAATGCCATGCAAAAAAAAGTTTAATTCCTCATTAGTATTGGACATGTAAAGTCGTCCATTACCCTATAAATACCCCTTAAAGTTAGTTTTTAGAGAGGGAGACATCATTAGAGAGGGTATTCGACCCTTAAAGTTAGTTTTTAGAGAGGGAGACATCATTAGAGAGGGTATTCGACCCTTAAAGTTAGTTTTAAGAGGGGGAGACATCATTAGAGAGGGTATTCGACCCAAGGAGGCAAGAACACGCTAGGAGCAAGACAGAGAATTCTTCTACGAGTTTTTCACTCCCTTCTTCCTATTTTCATTATTGATTATGAATTATAGTATTGTAGTTTTGCACCCTATTATGAATAGCTAATTTGTTATCTAGGGTTTTGATGAAACCTTTTGTAGGATGAATTCTTGATACGTTTTGACATAATTGAGTTTTTGAATTTTTCTATTTGTTCAACTATGTGCTTATTTTAGTTAATTGAAGAGCTCTCAATTAACAGTGCCTATTTATTATGTATTGCTTGAAAAAGAGTATATATTTAGGTGGTTGTTGAACAACGTCACTCTTAACGTATATGAAAGATCAATACGGCGGGTTTAACAACAGGATTAGATATAACGAAGTTTTAACATGATCATAGTGAGCGGTGAAAAAGTGTGAGCTACCTTAACTCGAGAGAATATGACTAGCACATTGTTGTAGTTGCTCAAGAGAGAATTACGATAAGTCGAGTGATCATGATCAGTAGAGAATACTTAGGCGAAATTATAGAATATGTAGTGGGAAGGATTCCGACAATTGGGGAAATCATAACTCTAGACCTCCTTAATCTTTTTTCCAACCCTTAGTATCCCTAGTTGTTAATTTACTACTTTAATTTGTTAGTTAATTAGTTGGATATAAGAATCTTAATATTTATAACTTTGGAATTGTTCGAGCTTGTCTTCTTAGTGATAGTCAACAGTTGTATTAAAACCTTAGTTCTATATGGGATTCGACTCCGGACTCTTAGACCGGATTATATTTGCAGCGACCGCTTATCTTTTTTAGGGATAGAGTTAGGCGTGATCAAATTTTGGCACCGTTCTCAGAGAACTAACGGTGTAGTTGTAGCTTTATATATTGCTAGGTTTCAAGTTTGAACTTTTATTTTGTTTTGTTTATTTTTTAATTTTATTTTATTCTACTTGTTGATTTGAGAAACATGATATCTTGGAA